CAGCATATATAAATCTCTATCTGTCTGACATGTTTACAAAATTAGAAGATTTCATAGTTCTATTTCCGCTAGACAAGTAGATAGGCTCGATATTTACAGATCTCATTTTGTCTGAAATAAATTTTATATATGTATTATAGCGGCGCACACTGAAGTTGATCGTGCAACTACTTTCAATCTCTTCGCTATATATGGTTGGATGGATTCCATACTCTACGATTTCACTTATTCAATTATTTGCCAATAATCATCTACTTGCCTATCTTCTCTCAACATATTTCACTTTTATTCCATATTTTCAGACTCTATTATTACCTTACATTTGTCTTTTCTTTATGCCCAATATTAAACACAAGGTTTATAAGGTGCTCTTCTCATCACGTTGGTGCAAAGCAATCCGTCAAAAGAATCAAGTGCATATTATGGCCAATAAGCATTATACTGCCACTGCTGGATTGGCTCTAGTTAATTAATATACAGTGTTTTCGATTCTGATTAAATAACTTTTTCGTTCAATCTAATTCATATGGTCTCCGACTATCGAATGAGTGTTTGAGATTGTAAAAGAATTTTTACAGATGTATAGATCATTTGTTATTCATAGTATCAAAGATTTTTTGTTGAATAAAACATGTGATTCAAATATCTTATTAATATGATGAATGCAATATGAACATTAATTAGATCGTGTGCATAAGAAGTTCCTTGACAATTATCGAATATAGAGAGGTTTCAGAAAGATATCTCTCTCAAATTAGATCTGAATTGTTTATCATCTCGTTTTCTTTTTAGTTTCGGTTTGAATTCTAGTCATTTCTAGAGATACTGACTGATTAGATTAAATAGAGTGGGCAGGAAATTGCAAGAATGGAATTTGATATAGTGAGTGATATTGTTAGAAGTTAATCATATGAATCTATTGTACCTATAAGATTTAGTTAATGTAAAACAAAATTTCAAATTCATTTATAGGGTTTTGTCAAATCTTAATCAAGTTGATAAAACGATATTTCTAAAATATAAAAATTCTGTAACATAAACTAATAAAGAAATTTCATCATTTTATATGCAATTATTTATTAGTAGTAGTGTAACCAGTATATGATACGATACATTTGAAATTAAAAGAACAAGGATTGTCAAGCATTGTTTGACATTATACATCACGTGGTGAAACTCACGAGGAAACATCCCCAACTGCCCAACGCTGATCGAGCTCATATTTTGGCCATGAGTAGGCCTCACTGAGACTAAGAAAACCTCAGAAGGATTCGGGCCCATGGCCTGTTAGCCAAGAGGTATGACCATTTTACTGAATTCTCAGTCTATCTGCAGGTATTCACCAGAAAGTCAAATTACAAGATTTCGATCTGAAATTTTGCCCAAAGATAGGCCTAATGATCATTGAGATATCCTCAAAATCTCAGCTCAAACGAACGTCCCTTTGTCGAAATATTGGATTTTCACAAAACCAGTCACTTATCACATACTTGTCCCAAAAATCGAGTTTACGTGAAAATCCAATATTTCGACAAAGGGACGTTCGTTTGAGCTGAAATTTTGAGGATATCTCAATGATCATTAGGTCTATCTTTGGGTAAAATTTCAGATCGAAATCTTGTAATTTGTCTTTCCGGTGAATACCTGCAGATAGACTGAAAATTCAGCAAAATGGTCATAACTCATGGCTAATAGGCCATGGGCCCGAATCCTTCTGAGGTTTTCTTAGTCTCAGTGGGGCCGACTCATAGCCAAAATATGAGCTCGATCGGCGTTGGCCAGTTGGGAATGTTCCCTCGTTAGCTAGGGGTGGCCGCTCAGCAATGCAGCGTGGCTGTCCCGCTCGACAAAAAATTTTTTGATATGGCGACCGTCACTCGCGCGTCATTCTTTAGGTGCGGTGCGCATTTCTGACCCACACACATATGGATCACCGCTGGCCATATTGTTCCATCAAGAAATTAGTTAATACTACTACGGATGAGACGATAGCAAAATCTTCTTTGATGATAAATATTCTATTTGGCCAAGTATATTCTTGCTAAGCGATACATGAAGCCCTCAGGATACGACAAGGAGGATAGTGACTAGAGAAGCTTTCATTGCTTATTATTTATCTTTATTATGATACTAAATTCTATCTTCAAATGAAGAAAGAATCATTTTGTTGCAGGTCGAGATTTTTTTTTCTGAAATCTTCCGATAAAAGAATTCCGAGAGATGACGCTCATAGTTAGTAACCATAATAGAAAATATTGTATTGATAGAATGAATTAATTAATACAGAGAGAAAACAAGAATTGAACTTTCTTTTTTACATGACGACTTAGAAAATTATTAATTTTTTACACTTCACTAAATATTTCATTGGAGAATATGACTCCAATAAGAATAAAAGAACTGTTCTCTCTCTCTTCCAACAAGTTGTCAATATTCAGAAACAAAAAATATTTCCTAATTTGTTGATTTAAAATTTGAAGAAATTATCAAACGAATAATTTTTTATACTAGCAAAATCCAAAACAGTCAGCAAATCATGTGCTGCTCTTTTGTTTTTTTGTAGAATAATAACCGTGACTCATTTATTTTACGCCTTCAGTCCTATCTGATCGAAATTTTTTCATCACTTATCATGATCGATGTAACTACTAAAGCTGAATGATCTTCGGTTTTTTTTTTGTGTTCTAGATTAAATGTCAACACCACGAAAAAAGCAAAAATTAGAACATGATGAAGATCTTTTTTTATTTGATTTATCTGAACGTTTTCATTCATTTTGTTATCCACAAGTCGATGATGAATCATTATCTTCATCAATATCATTAGATGATCTTTATCAACGTCTTAATAAACATGATTTAGAATATCGTTCATCAATAAGTTTAAATCTTCAAAATTTAAATCAAGAAATTTTATTAAATGAAGAAAAATTATTTCAATTAAATTTATCAATAAAACAATTAAAAGAAAATTTAAATGAAAGACAAAAATATTTAAAATTAGCTAAATTAAAACGTCGTCATGAATCAGATTATATAACTATGTTTAATGTTATTAATCGATTTTCATCACGTGAAATTTCAAAAAAAAAATTAAATCAATTAAATCTTGAATATGAACAACAAAAATCTGAATTAGCACATTTAAATCAACGTTTATCTATTTATCAAAAACAATCTAAAGTTGTACTTTATTCTTTACTTGAACTTGTAGGATTTATTGATGTTAAATTACCGATTAATTTCGAAGATGAAATTGGTCGATTAGATAGTAACCCTTTATTAGAAAGTAATGGAGATAAATAAATTTTTTGCTGTTGTTTGTTTTCTTACTAAATAAAATTGGTCTTTATCTTTACTTGGAAAAGTAAAATTTTTGTTTCTTTTATTAAATGACAACAAAGATGTAATGAGAAATTCAAGAGATAGTTTTTGATTTCCTCACTAGAGCCTGTCGGGTGCTAAATATTTGGATCCGAATCCAATCCGTAATCAAAATATTCTTAATAAAACTTTATAACTAGTTATGATAGTTGCTCTGAAGTTACGAGATACTTTTTTAACTCAGTTAGATTCAGCAACTAACATGGACAACTGTGGGATCAAATTCGAGTGGATCCAGATTCGATCCGATGGGTTCTTTTCCTCATCCAAAACAACTTCCATTTTTCTCCTTGCTTTGAATTTGTTTAATGAATATTCATAGAAGTTGATTTTCAATCTTGTTCCACTGCTGAAAACCTTAATAAGAATCCAAATAGTGAGCTGTGTAGAGAATTTTCAAAGATTAAAAAGATTTGTAATTTCTTTACGGTATGTATCTCGATCAAAAAATGTCACACAGAACTGAAAGGTATTCCATTTTGTAGAGAAATAGTTGCAAATTTCAGGAGATGAAAAATTTGAGTTTCGCTTTTTCAAAGATCCTACCATTGGAAAAACTAGCCATCCTCTTCATCTTCAAAAATTTTTCACTTAAATCATTATTTGAGTTCTTGTTAACATTTCCGACAGTGGGAAAAAAATTGAAAATAAACTTAGTCAAATAATTCAAGAGCGATGATTTTGTTTCAATCTAGACAATAGCTAATTTCTTATTCGAAAAAGATTTTTGAGGTACAACGGATTTCATTAGAAAGTTTTCGTGACGTTTTATAAGTTCGAATGAATCAAAGATGATAGTTAAGTTTCCATGTCACACTACTGTTGGGGTATAGTACATATTGTACCGAACGACTTGGATCATATGGGTTGTTCTTTATACCTTGGAGCTGCTATATATAGTCTCATATTATACATATCTACAACAATATCTTCAGTTACTCCTAATAAAATTATGAAAATTGACTGATCAAGTCGGAAAGATTCTGTGATATTAATTATTTAGTGAATTGATATTACTTAGAAACGTAAACGAAAATACAAATTTTGACATTATTTATTAAAAACAGAATGTTTTCATCTAATATATATAAACTATTTGTACAATTTAATATACATAGATTACTAATAAATGTATCTAGTATGATTTGAGAATGAAATTATTAGCAAAAATAAATAACTTTTACATCAATCGATCTTGTCAGCGGCAAAAAAATACACTCTTAAACCTATTTGTCTCTATCATTATGTTTCTTTGGTATGATTCAGTTATAGAATTCTTAATATTCTTTTCTTGAAATCAATACAGAATGACGTTGATTGATGGACAGTATTATGTGTGTAAATATTATTTATGTTATTTGAAACAGAAAGAGAGAGATATTTTCAATTGTAGTTGCATTTTTATCAGAAAATTCGATTAATAAGGTATCACTTTCAGCTAAGAATTTTTTTAAAGTATTCTTTATTTTTCCCTTGAAAGTAATCAAATAAATTCAATATTTTTATTATGAAAAAATTTTGTACAAAAGATTTGTTTCTTTTTTTCAGATTATAAGTACTTTATAGATCTAAAATATATATATATATACAATTAATTTTCTCATCATATAAAAATAAATGGCTACAGCTGGTTATACTCGTCCACAAAATCATGTAAGTTTATATAATTTCTCTTAGTATTAAAAGTTATTCTATATGGAAAATTATGTTAGATTAAAATTTCATATAAACTCAGGCCGTGACATTAACGTTTATAAGAACATTGAACATAAAGAAGGCTTCGGTCAAATATGTGATGAGTAGAGTTGATTGGGTTGGTCTTGAACTCAACCGAGTTTGAGTTCAAGATCGAGCCAACAGAACATACTATAAAAATAATAGCCCACTAAAACTTGATTATTACAAGATCATTGTCTAAGAAATTTGTAGGGTATGTTAATAGCAGAATAAAAATAATCGATTAATTTTGGATCCAGCACGCTCTAGTGATGAGCCATCAAACATTATTTTATACTAAGTGCTTTGACTGAAGATGAACGACTATAATTTTGTATTTGCTTTTAATGATCATGAGTTTTGTTGTCAATATGTTTTATAATTAAATATCATTAATGGAGATTTTCAAACTTTAATCTCTATTAAGTGATTGTTCAAATTATATTTTATCAATACTGTACAATAACCTTGAAAAGAATTGAAACATTTAAAAGTCATTAGACAGTTGATTTCGACAAATCAAAGCAATCCCAACGAATCTTATTCACTATAAATTAGAGTTTAATTCTTTTTTTTCAATGAAATTTGATTTTAGTCAACAATTACAGACGATGATGATGCAGCACTTGATATTCGAACAGATTCGTAAGGAATATACTTCTACACATACGGCTAAAATTATTGTTTTTATTCATTTAGAAATAATACACGTGCAACAGACAATAAATCTGTAACAACGTAGATATTTATAAAAATAAATTTTGTCTTAATTAAAAAAAAATATATATATTTTTTTTTCTAGACTTCATAATCAAGTTCAAGAAGTTGTTGGTGTTATGAAACAAAATATCGATAAACTATTAGATCGTGATGTTGCATTAAATAATCTTGTAACACGTTCTGATGATCTTCAATCATCGGCTACAACTTATAATAGAACAGCAAATCAATTACACAAAAAATATTGGTGTAAAAATGCTAAAGTACAAAAAAACAAAACATTTTCTCATTATTCGAAGTAATTTTCTATTCATATTTTTAGACAAATATATGCATTGCTGGTATTATTATCACAGTTATATTCATTGTTATATGTAAGTTGTTTTATGCCTTATTACAAGGAAATTTCCATAGAAAAATAATCAAATATGAACATAATGGATTGAACTCTATTTTCTTGAGACCATATTGGGTCATGGGTACAAAATTCTTGTTTTTTTTTTTTTACATCTTGATTTTTATTGTCCGTCAAAAATAAACGTACAAGAATCTCAATGAACTTGCGTTAAGACGTACTACTCATATGAGAATAAAATTTAGTAGACAAAAATAAAAAAAAACAATTGTATTATATGTTGTAGATGGTAAACCAAGGATATGGATTAGACTGAAATAAAAATAGATAATCCATCTGAATGTCAAATACGATAGAGTCCTGCAGAGTTAAACTTTTTAACTCCGAAAATATTCACTCATGTAGTTCCGGTTCCAACTTCGGAGAATTCCAAAAATATCTTTTTGTGACTAGCATATATACTTCTTTTTGGCCTATTAATGGATAAGTCGAAAGTTTCGAGGCAAAATAATAAAAGCTACAACTTAGTTCAATATAAAATTTTCTTAAGAAGTTTTCGCTCGAACTTATACGAATTAACAAAAGTCTATTGATTCATCATTCAATCTAATTTAAAAAAGTCACTTTCAAACAAATATATTGTTTTAAAATGTTCAATCCAAACCCATAATATAAGAATAAAAATATTTGACTGTGTTATTGTGACATTAACTTCACCTAGGTGATGTAGAGCTCTATTATACAAAATAAAAGAAAAAAAATTCGAAGGAAAGACAAAGAAATGAATAATTAATTTACTTTAATATTTTAGTATCAATTGCATTAAGTCGTCGTGGAAAAAACTAAACAAATATTCAATATTTTCTGGCTTTATGGTCAATTCCATCTATTTATTTCCTTCATATATAAACTCTTTTGGAAGAAAAAAAAAATCTTGTTTTTGCTCATGATCTTCTGTTTTTTTTTTTTTTTTTGTTTTCTTTAATTTTATTTAAACATACATAAAATATTTGTTAACAATTATCATATCCTGCCGTGGAAAATGATGATCATCTATAATATAAGTAGACAATTGAAAAATTGATTACAAGGATGATATTTAATTCTGTATGAGCCGTAGTAATTGAACGGCCGTCTGTACATATAGACATGGCGGCACCCTGCAAAGATTATTCATCGAACAATAGAATATGAAAATCAATAGGTAAGAAAAAGAAAATCACCATAGGAGGTCTCAATAAGAAAGTTTTATTTTAATATTTGATCTATCCGCCCATCGAAAGAGAAAGTAATTATATGTTATATGCATCATACGATAATTAATTTCAATGAATGAATATTTTTTTTATTTATATAAAACAAACCGCAAGAAAAGAAAAAAAACATATTATTTTTTTAAAAATTAATTCCAGAATAATGTTGTTGATAATTATTTGAATCATGATAAACATTCATTGAATGCATATAACTTGATGATGGTATATTTTTCATTGGTACAAGATTTTCAAATGATGATAATGGTGATTGAGAACAACTATCGGTTGTTAAAGAATTATTTATTTGAGGTGATTGATTTCGTTTTATACATAATTCATTATTTATTAAATCAGATGATACTAATTCATGCATTTTCATATGTTTACGTAAGGCTAAAAAAAAAAATTTAAGTTTGCTTAAATAGATTGTGTGTGTGTTGTTTTATCTTACATGATGGATGAGTATATGTTTTATCACAACCATTAAAACGACAATTATATGGTTTATCAGATGTATGTACATGCTGATGTTTTTTTCTATCAGAACTATTAGCAAAACTTCGTTCACAATATTGACATCGAAATGGTCGTTCTCTATACAAAGAAAAACATTTTAATTTCGTTTTTAAGACAAATATATATATATATAACTAACCCTGTATGTGTTCGTTTATGTATTTTAAGATTTTCTGAACGTGCAAATACTTTTCCACAACGTGCAAATGGACAAGCAAATGGTTTTTCACCGGTATGAACACGTATATGATTAACTAATTTATATTTTGCTTTAAATGCTCGACCATGTCGAGCGCAATCAAGCCATAAACATGTATGAGATGATTGTTCAGGTCCACCTACATGTTCAACAGTCAGATGAGTTACTAGAAAAAAAAAATCAATACCATCAGTATAAGAATCTTCAATAGTAAATTCATGAAAACAAAGAACACATATCAAAATATAATTATAGAGACTTTTATTTCAAGCAAGAAGAAATAGAGATCAATAGGAAGAATAACCCTGTTGTTTAACTACCTTGCGGTATGTGGTGGTGCCTAGCAGCAGTTTCATTAGCCCGATATCCTACCTACAAAATATAAAATAATCAGTATACTATCGGACGAATGATCCGAGACAAATATCCATTAGTGACTTGTTCAAGGTCATTCCATAGCTAGTGCGTACTGAGGTTTGCACACAGTGCCTCGTAGTTACTCAGTCATGGCGGCTGGAGCCCATCACATTGATCCTGACCTGATGGACTCAAATTTAAACAGACTTTGGGTTTTTGTTAGAGAAAAACTTTAAAAAAATAAATTTGTTCGATATTTTGAGTTGTAGACAACGTATTGTGTTTTTGCTATTCTTACCAATATCTTGCATGCATGTAAATATTCGATTACATAATCGATTTGTATCAGGATTAATCCATTGACAAATGTAATTTTCATTTTTATTATTTGTAATATTAGATGTTGTAGTAAAATTTGTACGATATGATGGATATAAACAAGGTAAAAATGGAGTTTGATTTGTTGAATGATATTGATTATTTGTATACTGTTCAGAATCAAACATTGAATATGTCCTAGAAGATAAAATTTAGAAAATAAGATTCAAAATCGAATTAATAAAATTTCTACATAAGATCTTGTGTTGTATTTGAATATGATGAAAAATTTGTAAGACGTTGCTGTTGTTGTTGTTGTTGATCATCAATAGAATTAGGTAAATTAAATAGAAAAGATGATGATGATGATGGTGTTGAAGTAAATGATCGATAAGTTGTTGATGTATATGGACTTGAATATGGTGATATTGTTGTATTAAGAGTTCCATCAATGGATGGATTTGTAAGATCAAACATTGATTTAAACAGCTGGAGATTTTGAAAGATAAACTTAATAATTATTCTCACTGTGTGATTGATTGTTAACAATCTCAATAGGAATTAGCACTTGCTAATTTTTCTATTGAGATGTAAGGTGAGATGTGTCTTTAAAACTCAACAGGACCTAACTGTTGATATACTTATATAATAACTCCCGTAGGTAATCTATCGAATATAGACACATACACAACAATATAGTTAAATTCTTTTGATCGTCGTTGTTAATAGTCAGTATGAAAAATAAGATCTACCAATAGGGAATGAAAAAAAAAAGAAATTAATGATGTAATTTTTTTTTTTTTTGAGATTATACGATAGGACTCCTGAGGTGTGAATCGTCTGATAGAAAGAAAGGAAATACGCATGTTATATCCAGTCGAGCATTTCTTTTTGTTACATAGAATAAAAACGGAAGGGAGAGAAAAACTGTAGGGTGCTGATTGGAGAAATCATGCTGAGTTGTTCTTTACTCTCGTTTGTTTTTTTTCTACCAATAGACATTTTTTTCTATAATAATCACAAATCGACCAATAAGAAAAAATGAAATACTTTTTTCAATTTGGCATTGAATTCGCAGAACGAAGTGAATTGTATTGTAGTTTGGTCTTAATGATTTCTCAAGAACTTAATCTCATACGTCTCTAAGTATCCTTCGCCTTGTCTAAAAAAAAAATAAAACCTTTGCAAGAATGAGGGAAGTCAGCCGCGCCGAAGACTTTGGACACAAATCTGATTTTGAAACATCATTTACCTTTCTGTAGCAGAAAGTGAAATAAAAATAAGTAGACAATGTTGTTGCGAGATGAATAGAATTGGACGGGTTGTGTCACGGGTAGAACTCATCAGGTTCAAATTTTTCGAACATCGATCCGATCAGATCCATGATCACGCTGCAGTGGATTTTGCTTCTCTTCCCGCTTACTACTTCCAGCACTCCGACAATAAAAAGACTTTCTATTGAAGTTTTAGCCCCTGCCACTTCTAAAGAGATATTGACAAGCCTGTTCAAAGACACCCCTTGATGTTAACTAAAACAAAAAAAAACAAAATTTTTCAAGATTTCTATTCGTTAGTTATAGTTTAAGCAACTTGACGTATCAGCACTATTGCGAAAACGATCTTCTCGCTCATCGAATGCTTACGAAATCCCTCATATCTTTCTATTTTTATGTGATGTTCATCACCACCTGTTGTCCACTTGTCATAGTCATACCTATATGAGTGAATTGTTTGATCACATAATATCATTCACCTTTTTCTTTTTATCGATGATCTCTTCTTGCTTTTTGATGAAAATCGGTGGATCGGCAAAAGTTAAATAAGAAATCGATTGCAGCTAATTTTTTATTTCATTCATTAATAAAAATAGTGAGTGAGTTCATTTTCTTTGCCGCATATATATACATACATACATATGAATTCAATCTGTTACGCTTAAAATAGTTCATAAAAAATGAATTATGTTGAGAATCGTCAATTGAATTATATTGTTCATAAATTCTTTTTCATCCAATTGTTAATTGTCTACATACTTATCTAATATATTTGACAATGTCATACATATATATATTATTTTAGTTGGTCCCATTTAGGATAGGATGTGATAAATATAATATCATCATCATCTTGTTTTATTTTTATATCTAAATTCAAAACAGATTTTTTTAATATAATCATTTATTCTGATAGATAAATATTATTCATCTTGTTTAGAATCGAACTTTCAAAATAAACATTGCTCCACCTCGTCTATTCTTCATTATTATCATTGACATATAATTACTCAAATGAGAAACGATTATCAAGTTCATATGTATATAATGAACAATGATAATAGAACATGGTATAAGAAAACAGAACAAAATATTTCTGATGAGAAAAATTTATCGAATGCCAAATGTTATTTTGTTTTGATGGTAACACTTTCCTTTGAAAAAAGAATTCACTCCTCACATATGTGTGAACAATACCACAATAGAATAGATATAATTATTCAATCTTTGTCATTATGATAATGATCGATGCCGATCATTACATACAAAAAAAAAGATCAATCGATCAAATAATTTATTATTCAAATAGTTAATATAAAGTGATAAGTCATTTTTACCTATTTAGCATTTACGTGTGATATTCGATTGTTGAAATATGAGGTCACATCCAGTGAATAGCTTTTATATAATCGATTATCATGTTATATCAACAAACTAGATTACTATTTTTCTCATCGATTGATTTATTACAATGCATATTATTGGTTAAATATTGATGATTGACCTGGTCCAATGGTGGATTGAAAGATTCATACGGCTAATCTCGAATCGAATAATATATTACATTAACGCAAAAATTAACTATAGCACATGAAATTTTCTAGTCAATAAAATAGAATATCTAATCATAAGCAAATAACGCAAGGTGTGGATATACTTGTTCTCTTCATCGCACATTCACAGTCGAGATATAAATCCACTTTTAATACATTCTTTGAACTAAACCAACATCTCCACATAGAATTCAGTATATTCACTCTCGAATTCGAGATTGGCTGTATTAACCTTTCAATCTGTTATTGGTCTAGGCTAACCAGAGATTCGTCTAAAATTTTCAGGAGAACCTTATACGTGACGTATTGTAACTGATCAATTCGAGAATGGCATGGATTAATGTCCATACAATGTCGAATCCCAGATTGGATGCGTTAGTAAATGTGAATAAACAATACACAATGTAGTTGTAATATATATTGTTAGTCATAGTTATATACAGTCAAAATGATTTTAAAAAAGGCATTGCTTATCTTTCAGCGTAAAATTTCTCTAATGTAAACTTTGATAAAAAATCATTCCTACTGAAAAAAAGAGATTTTTCTAATATGTATAATAATCTTGAAAACCATAGCCTACATTTGTCTTTGACTGTCGATATTGAAATGAAGCGTTGAATTTATAGTAAAAGGTTCATAATCATGTAAACATGAGTTCTAGAAGCTGCTTGTGTGTTAGATTTTCAATTCAATTTTCCTCATTAGATCTTACAACAACAATGATTTGTTTAGTTCAATCTTATAAAACATTGATAAAAGTCAATTTTATTTAAAAATCAAGCAAAAGCAACTTTTGGATTAGTTGCTGTTTTTCTTCGATCATTTTCATCAATTGGACTTGGTGCTGAAGTAACAATTGATTTCCATGATGAAAAATCTGTTCGTGCTGATCGTTGACCAGTTGATTGACTTGTTGTATTATGAGTTTTTGATGATTTTTTACTACTAATTGATTTAATATCAAAATTATCTTCAACAAATATTGATACACGTTGTCGAACTTCATCTGTAAGTTGAATTGGTGTTGGTGCTGAAAAATCACCACGTCTAGCTGATTGTGGTCTTCGTCGTGTTTTCGTAGAATCTAATGGTGTTGTTGTTGGTGATATGACTGCTGAATGAATACGTTCTTCTGATGTACTACGACGATGACTATTTGATATTGTTTGTGATGGATGATCTTAAAAGAAAGTCAATAAAAAAAAAAGAAAAGAAGGATAGATTTAATTATGAAAATTTCTACCAGGTGCTGGATTAGATATAGCAGGTGTCGATGGATTTGACATTCCTTCAAGATAATGTTTTAAGTGTTGTAATTCTCCAATAAGACGATGAACAATTGTACCAACTTTTGCTTTTCGTTTTTCAGTATGTTGAAGTAAAACAGTTAAATCATCAATATATTGTAAATCTTTTTTTGCTGCTCTATGTTCTAATTGTCTATCATCATTCCAACCGGATTCAAGAATATCTATATAAGTAAAAGCTATTAGTTCAATCCCTATGGGATTAAAATGTAAAATATGATATAACTGTTCTTGCTAATAACAGGAAGTTTGCTTTTATTTCTATCTATTTTGAAATACATTTCATTATCACCATCGTTTTACTTTTTATCCTCTAGAAATGCAATAAGGAAGTACATCTCAACATTCATTTTAGATCATGTTTTGCAAAAAAAAAAAAAAACAAAGAAAATAAACTAACTAAGAAGGCCGAGATTATTTTCATCAAGATGTTTGATATCAACATTAGATTGTTGAGAAAAACGATTGAATAATTCAATTTGATAATTTAAATAATCAATAGTCTAAATAAAAAGAAAATTATCAAATTAATAAAATAAAATTAATTACTTTTTGAAATCGTTCATTTTCATCTTCTAATGTTTCTAATCGACAACCTTTTTCATAAATATCTTCTTCAAGTGTTAACATATTATCATGTGCTTTTTCCATACGTTGTTTTGTATCTTGTTGACATTCTTTAACAGCTAACATTGTTATATCACGTGATCTATTTTTTTCTCGAATATCACGTTGTATATTTGAAATTTTATCAAGAATTTCTTGTTTTTTACGTTTTGTTTCTATCATTGTTTCTTTTGTTGATTCATAAATTGTTGTCATTTTTTCATGTTCTTCTTTGAGATGTTCAAATTCTGGTGTTGTTTCAGTGATTTTCTTTCGATTTACATCAATTCCTATTAATAATTGTGCTGTTATGTCCTAAAATATTAATAGAATTTCAAAAAATTTTTCCAAGAATAGAAGAGATTTATTACAATTTGAACAAATAAAATCAAAATGATCAACAATGAGAATTATAATGATCAAGGTTGAATATGTACAATTGTTTTTTATTGTATTTCGCTGTTTCGATAATACGTCATACTTGACCATATCGTAAATAGTTGGATACTGTATGAAACAATGATATATAATATCGTTTACAGTACCAGAAGAAATACATTTTGATGATATTGAGAAACGCTTAGGAGATTTTATGTCTATCATCTGCTGTGTTCGAGTTCCGACATCAAACATACAAACTCATGTATGAATTTTATATATTTGTTCTGAATGATTGTCGGTCTTATAATAAGGATCTTTCTAGATTACAGATTATATGTTGTTCTATTAGAATTTATATCAATAGCAAATAATGAGACATGTCTAGTTCTGTACATGAAGAAAAATATTTTTGATTCGTGAAAACATTCGTGTTTTCTAGTAAGATAGTTCTTTCATAAGTTACGAAATATTGTTTACGGTAGCTTGATTTTTATGATGTATAAATCACGATAATTTACCAAAAATAAATTTGATATTTATTGAGAAATGAATATCAACTGGAATTATTGATAGATGTGAATAACTGAAAAATGTTCAGTGACAAAGAAGGAATATCAGATTTCTTATTCAAACGAATGTTGTACGACTAGTTCCGTCTGAAATCGACCATACAATTATTGTGTTGTGACTAGAACCCATCAGATTGGTCCGGGACTCAGATCCAGTTGGATCCGAAAATTTTAGACCCGATAGACTTTAGCTGTTCGCATACAAAAATCGAGAAAAAAGGACCTCGTATCTTCGGAGAGACTATCTAATTTCGATTAAAAAATTTTTAACTGTTACCCTATCCTATAGAGTAGGGTAGGCTAACCCTACATATCTTCAGCTGGAATTAACATCATGCCGACTAGAAATCCATGGAATCGTCTGTTCGAACGATTGACCTCAATGTGTGTGTGTAAATATCTTGAAGTCTATTTCTCTTGTAAGAATCTCTACTTTCTACATGATGTGGTCCAAAAGTAACTCGGTAGTCTTTAATTGCGAAGAACTTTTGATAGGAACAACATGGAGAGCTGCGATTTTCACTGTTCGAAAGAGGAGATGAAGACGCATCGAATCATATATTATAGGTTTTTCTAAAAATGTTTTCATAATCAATTTTCTTAAAAAATTGTCGGAAAAATAGTTTCTTATAAAATTAAAAAAGCACAAAAAGTGATTTTTTTTACAGAAATTAATAGAAAAATCGGCTCAAAATTTCGAGTAGAATACCTATAACTTCCGAAGGAGAAACTCTTAAAGCCTGAGTTTTGTCCAATTTTGTAGGCTTTTGACTAGTGGTTCGAATACACACTTGATCATAAAAAATCCAGTGTAGTCACCTTATGAAGTACGTTGGTTTAAGTTCTTGAAAAAATGAGGTAAACTTATCTTATATTGTACAGTTCGATGCATCTTCATCTCCTCTTTCGAACGGTGAAAATCACAGCTCCCTATCTTATTCCTATCAAAAGTTATTTACAATCAAAGACTACCGCGTTACTTTAGGATCACATTGTTTATTATGTATTTGTTTATTATAATAAAATCAAAAATTAATTTTTTGTACTTTAGCTTTTCAAATGTTAAGTATATTTCTAAATAATGAGACATGAACAAAATTTCAAAAAGAAATTAATTTTCTTTACTTCAAGATGTTTAATTTGTTGTTCAAATTGTATTTTCATTTGATGATATTCATCTGTTAAATTTGTAAGTCTTTGTCCAAGTTGATTGATTTGTATTTGATCTTCTCGAGCATATCGATCAAGTATTACTTTCTATATTTAAAATTATAAATTTATATAAAAATAATTTCCATATGTAAATAAACATACTCGTTCACTTAAATCAGTTACTTTAGTTGTTGTTTGTGTTACAAATCGATTATGTCGTATATCATTATTTCTTGTTGTTAATTTTATTTGTTCAATTGTTTTAAGTAATGTTTCACGTTCTTTTTGTTTTGATATACTAAAAAAAATAAAAAACAAAAATTTTCATAAAATAAATTGTATTAATTTATACCGAGTATTTCGAATATATTGAAGTTCTTTTTCAAGTGTTGTCATTTGTAATTTTAATGAATCAACCATCATTTGATGAGCTTCTCTCATTGATTCAAGTTCTTTTGTTGTTTCAGCATTATCTAAATTAAGTTTAGCTGTTTTTTCAAGTTTTGTTGCAATATCATGTTTTATTTCTTCTAATCTATAGAAACATAAAAATTATCATTGAAATATTTTCATTTAATATTACAAACCCTTTTCCTGTTTCTGTTATTGTATTTTCTAAAATTTTTGACACTTCAACATGTTCTTCAATTTGTTTAACAACTGTTTCATGTTTTTGTTTAAGTGTTTTTAATTTTTCCGTTTCTTCATTTGTTCGTTCTTGAGCCTGAATGATTTAGATTAAGTTAACACGACTGCTACATCCGGAATAGATATCCCTACGACACTTGTTCTTGTAATATTTAGAGGGCTGATGGTGAGCGATAGAAGTGAGTGCGAAGGGTAGTATCAGATCGGAGATTAATATAAGAATGACAATAAGATCTATATCAAATTTCATTACTTTTCTAATTGTTTTTGAATTACACAGACGCCTGGTATTCGCAAAACAGGTTGCCATAACTGATTGGCTACGCTGTATCTGCAAGGTATCGTGTGCAAATCGCTATACCACCAGTAGAAAGCTGCGAGTTCAGATCCAAAGTTTTATTTTTTATTGGACCCAGTTACATGTTTTTGTGGATCTGCTGCTCTTCAGATGAGAAATGCAGCAATAAGATATAACTGTACGTTGAGTTTTTCCTTTTGAGAGTAGCGAATAAATAGCTGAAACTCTGATCCTTCACTTGTTCATATACACGGAGGGTACAAATTATTGATAGAAAAAACCTTAGATTTGGACTCGGTTGGGTCCGGATCCACAAAAACGTAGACCTGCAGCTTCCTAACCACCAGCTATGGAATGATCCTATACAAATCACTAACTGTTATTTATCTCGGATCACTCGCCCGGTAGCATGCTGACTACGTTGTGAGAAGTTAATTGATTAAGGAATGTCTTCCATTACATACGGCGTATCTCTCCTCCAAGAAGGAATCTTCCATAGCGGAGAGAGATTTAGTTCTAATCAAGAGTCGTAGGAAAGAAAATATTGTAGGAATATTTGTCTTTGAAGCAATACTCGTAGAGTTGTTTTGTTAAATATAAACGTAAAAGGAATGAAAATGACATACGGTTGCTGCTCGTTGTTCAAGTGAAGCTTTTTTAGTTTGATAATCAAGTAATGCTATACCACATGATTCAGTAAATTGAAGTCTATTTGAAAATTAAATTTTTTTTTCATTATTTCTTTTGCTTGAAAAAATTTTTACCGTTCTTGTAATAAACGATCATGTTCTCGTTGTTCCATTTCGAATTGTGCATTTTGTTCATCAATTTTTTTCTTTATTTCATCATTATCATTATCAAATCGTTCACGTTCCTATTTATAGATAGAAAATTTATTTATGAATTTTATTTTATCTATACTCAACTCGATACATTGTACGTAATTGTAATTCAGTTTCTGATACTTTATGATTAGCTGTATCGACATCTCTAGAAATAAATAATGAATAAAAAAAAAGAAAATATCAATTAAAAAGAACTACTTTTTTAATAAATCATTTGCTTTTTGTTGTTCTTCATATCGTTTGAAAGTGACTGCCTGATAAACAAAAAAAAAACAAACGTAATTATTTGATTAGAAAATAAGGATAGATTTTACTTACGATTTCATCTTCAAGACGAACTTTTTCTTGACGAGCTTCATTTCGTTCTTGCATTAAACTTTCTTTTAATACCATTATATCTTCTTCTAAATCGAATGTCTATGGTAAAAGAAAATAATTTGAATATTAATATTCAATTTTTTGTTGAAATTAGATTAAATTCATAAAGATGAGAGAGCATGTCTTCATTATGCTTTTAAAATATGTAATAGTTTTTGTTTAAATGTATTTTTATAATGATTGAATCTGATAGATTTTCTTGATATTCAAAGAAAAAAATATATTGCTTTCTGAAAGAATCATTTTATCATTAAGAATTTCATTTCAATGATCATAACTCACATATTGATTTGTCTCTCGAACAGTATCTCTTGTTTCATTTAAACTAATTTGTAATGTAGCTTTCTCAGATACACGTTGATTAACTTCAGTAATTGTCGTATCATATTGGTGTTGTAATGAATTTTTCTCTGCTCTTCAATATTAAAAGCAAAAACAAAAAACATTGTTATAAAACTTATTTATTATTTTCTTACTGTAATGTATTGATAGCAGTACTCAATTGTTTATCTTGATCAGTATATTCACGTACTTGTTCAAGTTGTGTATCGAGTTCGTTTTGTAATTTTTGAATAACACTTACATTCGATTCTCTTGCCATATTAACAGCCGCTATGATAATGAAAAAATCAAAATGATGAATAAAAGAAATATTTGTTTATTACTTTTTTTTGCTTACCTTGAATTTCATTTTTAATTGTAGTTGGCAAAAGTTTTAATCGATGACGAAGTCGACTTGATTCAATCGATTCTGTTTCATAATCGACATATAATTTTAAAATTTCTTTTTCCTAAAAACAAAAAAATAAATTTTTAATTCAAAGAACTAAGAAATTATTCAAAATACCAATGCCATAAGTGTATCAGCGACATTATCGATATTATTTAAATCAGCTTCAGTAAATATATTTATTTGAAATGATTCACCTGTTTTTATGCAGAAAAAAAGATATTGACAACTATTTAAATAATTTATTAGACTTACCAAGTTGTTTTAAATGATGAACAGCATTTCTAATAGAATTACTTATTTCTGAACTATCAGTAGTAACCATTTTTTTTTTCTGTCAAAATTAATCAATTTGATATATGTACTAAAAAAATAATGTTCGATGATTAAAATTTTGCCATTTACGTGTTGAACTCAGAGAGACACATTAGTTACTTAGCAAAGCATCGTGTGGAAGGACATCTTTTTTTATTGATTGATTGGTGTGGCGCTAGAAGTAAGTCGTTAAGTATGCATAATGTGACAAGTTTACTGAGGTATCTGAATTGGAAACATAAACGAATTTCAGTGTAATAGTGAGTCTCTTGGATGTATGCATTGCAGTAGAGACTACTTCCAAGTTTATTATTTATAAGATTTTCGCTTGATTCTAAATAAGAACCATATGGTTCTTTGATTGAAATCAGAAAAAAAAGGTGCATTCTACTGAGATGTCTGAAATAGACACTGAAAAATAATTGAAATAACCTAACAAGCGATGTAAAAGTCTTTGGAGATATGTTGAGTTACGCAGTTCTACCATTTTAAAAGATGGAAAGCTAATTTTGTTTAATAGAAAGAACATGACAAGTACTACAAAAAACTGTATTTAGAGAACCGAATAAAGTCAATCTCGTCACATAGCACTAAGCTTCACCCGAACAGCTTCCATTATAACTTGCAACATTTTTTGATCAAATTCTTTTGCCTTTTCTTTGATTCTTCGAACCAAATGATCAACATTTTTTGCTTCCCAATTGTTCTCAAATATTTTTCGTTCAAGTAAAATCCATGCATACAATTTCAATTGAATGAACGTGAGATACATTCAGTTAATGTGTGCTTGCTAAATCGGGCCAGAACAGTTAATGTCCATCCCAATGATATTTATCAATTTCGTATTAATACATTCTTTGAAATATATTTCTTGATCGACGGCTTGTTTGCTTTTGTAAACATAGACATTCGAAACTCCCTTCGAAATCATTATTTTTGGTTCAGATTTTACTCTTTTTGAAAAACTTGGTGTTTAGAGAAGTTGTAGCTGTATTGATTGGATAGAGATCGTGATTTCCGATGACGTTGTTTCCGGTTAATATGAAGTATTTTTCATCGTCATTAATTAAATCATAGCCATTTAACAATTTTCGATATACAATGTGTTCCAAAAGTTCGCGTGGAAAACAGTTCAAACGATTTATATATATATTTTTAATAATATTATAGTATATTCTTTGAAGTTTTGTTCTGTATTATTTCAGGCAAATACCAGTGTTTATAAACATGGGAATAGCAGTAGTTTTGTTAATGGTCAAATTTGAGTCATCGATCATAGTGAAAGCAAAAATACGAATGGAATTTGAAATACAAACGTCAAACAGACTGTATTAAACATGTTTTTCAATGCTTTTGTGAAATTAGTATAATGGTAAATAGACAAAAATGTGAAAGATCTTTCAAAATTACAGAAGAGAAAATCGATGAAATTCATGATACTTCTGAAAATGTGCCAATATTGAGTGTTCGGGTCTCTACAACAGCCTGCTTCATTTCATGAACAATAGCAGACCGAATTATGAATGACTGAATATCATTCAATGAACCCATAGAAAGTACAATATGTCCAATGGTTTCATTAAGAATATTGATAAGATCGAGTTGAAATGATATCACGCTGATACTAATATTAGAAAATATCACTAATCAAGAGAATATCGTTTTTTCTTTAGATGACATGTCTCTTGTCATTCAAATAGGTTATTGATACATATAAAGTGACAACCTATTTATATATGACATATATAAAGTTTTAGCTGAATAAGAATCGATAATGGAAATATATCAATTGGAATATAAACTTTTTATACTATGTATTATATGAAATAAAGCTTAAAAGATATACTATCATATTATCAAAAACAAAAAAAATGTTACAATCACTCGAATTGTATAAATGATATTTACGTAAACTTTTACCAAGGACTTTTCAGACACTCTGTACTTTTCAGAATTCTCCGTATTCGAATTTCTTGCTGTTCACTATCCATTTTTGGAGATATTCGACACTTTCTTATAACAACTGATGTTTGTCTTCGAAGATAACGTGATATTCTTGACTGCTCATGTGATAACTACCGCCGATATTCCGACGGTTTTCATCGAAAATGTTGTATCAAAACGGGTGAATATTTTTGAAGCCTATTAAAACTAACAGAACTGAGTTGTTTATGATGCATTCTGATAATACTAATGCATTTGAGTTGCCTGTGCTAGCCACAGAATCCAAATCAGCCTTAGTTATGAAATAAATTTTTACTGTATTAAAATATATTCTGGAACTGTTTTCTTCTCGACTAATTTGAATTCTTTCTAATAAATAAATCGAATTTGGGTAGAAAGCACTCTCTGTAATTGTTTATAGATGGAACTGAAAGTTGTCAGTGTTATTATCAATTCTTATGAGTACCATAGTATAGCAGCGGTAGTGTGAACAAATGTGCGGCATGGATTATTTATGAATTTATAAAGCAATGTGTTTTTGTTCATTACTTAATATATGAAGAATAAACTTGTCACTGCGTAAGAGGAACAAAACATGACTTTTTTCTTGATGTAATTCCGATATTCACTCCAAAACAATTTCTTTTAGTAATTCCGGCTTCAATTCCGATCCAGGGTACTAGTGAAAATCCTCGTCTCACTAAATACCTACACTCACATTCAAAAATATCATTTGAGAAAAAATAAGTCGCACATGAACATTGTTTTCTTTTCTATTTTAATTCGTGTGTGATTGTCTACGTTTGTCGTTTTCAACTTTTTTTTTCTACGTAAATCATCGAAATACTTGTGTGCAATTATAATTTGTATTGCTTTTTTTTCTCTCGTATATATTGAGTTTATTATGTTATATTATTAATTAGCAACAAGAAAACGACCGATAGTCTAATATCTAAAATGTATGCTTGAAGTTATATTGAGAAATTTCGAAGTATCTTCAAATACTTTTAAATATTCAAAGTAGCTTAAAGCAGTTTCGCGTACATATGAAGTAGCTTAGATTCGCTTGAAATGTTTGAAAGTAGCGCAAAATAAGTTCAAGTATAAGAGTACGTTGTTTTCCACTTGAATCAAAGTCACAATTAAATTCATTGGTTTTCAAAAAGTTCTCTCGATTCTTTTTTGCAACGATCAAGATATTTTAATTTCATCGATAATGGAAAAATAATAATTTTTTGTACAAATTTTATAATAATATGAAACGATAATTTGCAAAAAGACGTATGACATTTATTACACTAATGATCAAGTTATAGTACTAGATATCATTACAATAACAAGTATTCAACAATACGATAAACAAAAAAACAAAAACATTGCAAAAAAGCTTTTTTTTTTCTTTTATTTCCCAACTCTTGAGTTTTATTTAAGCTTGAATACATTCAATAGAAATATTTTATTATTCTTTATTTCTACTTCATTAATTCATTTTAAATCAGAAATAAAAAACTAAAACATACTAGATACCATATACATAAACATTTTTTTTTGGACTTAACTTGATATAAACAACTAAGTTATAATTCAAGAATGACTTTATACGTTTCTTTTCTCTCATATGATACTATTTTTTTTATTATTATTATTTAGAATATTCTTTGGAAATAGTTACATTATTGATGTCCTAGAATTTCGTAATTATTTCTAAGTTTCATTGACCTTAATTTTGATCAGATTTGCCAATAGAATAAACTTTACATTAATAATTTATTATCTCTCTCTCAAAGTTTTCATTATTAATAGAATAATAAATGATACATGACGAAGAAAATAAAAATTTTCTCGTATTCATCAACTAAATTTCTAGATTAATGTTTAAACTGTATAATCATCGAATAATGTTTATGAAATAAATCTTACAATTGCTAAATATATTCTATTTATATCTTCAAATGTTAAATATATCCAAGTTTTTGTCATCAATGTCATTCAAGTGTATTGAAGTACGATACTATTTCTATTCGTTTGTGATCGGATAATTTGAATACAGTACTCAAAGACTGAATAAAAAACAAACAAAATACAACCATTGAAATATGATTCTATATTCATACTTAATAATGATGTAATATAAATATTCTTTTTCTCGATTTTCATATAGTGACATACATTACGTAGTCACGCTATTATGTTCTTCTTCCTTTATGTCAATACAATAGATGTTTTTACTATTTCTTCACATTCTGGATTTCACTTCTTTATTGCTTCAAGTCATTCGTTAATTTGATTGAAAACATATTTCTGTAAGAAACAGCTGATGTTAATGCTTCAAAAAGCATGAAATACGCTGTTTCTTTTTTTTTACAAACAATCGAAAAATAAAACCTCATTATGTTTAATTTTTTTTTGCCCTTTGTTTTTCTTGGTATTATCATAAATTTATCATTATAAACATGATTATCATGTAAATTGAATTATTCAGCTTTTGATTCAGTATATAATTATATATATATGTATTTTTTTTTTGAGGAGAAGGGGAGTTCAAGAAAAGCAGAATAATAACAACAGCAATTAAATTTCTTCATTGTTGTTCTCTTTTTTTTTCTATATACATAGCACCTCAGTAGGATTTTGGCAAAAGTGAATAATAAGATACAACCGGTGATCGATCACTTTGATTTGTTCGTCGATGTGTTTCATTTAATTCAACAGTAAGATGATGTGGACTAGTATTATCTATTGATAGTGTTTTTTCATCATTTGAAGAAAACATTGGTGATAATTCATTTGTAATAGGTGATAATGATGAAGATGTTGTAACACCAAAATTAGTTATCATTGGTGTTAATTGTGAACAACGTGAATCATCTGATGTTCGTATTAAATAATCACTTTTAAAATATAATAAATTTTGATTATGATTTATATGATTATAATTATTATCAGTTATATGTCGATTTCTTATACTTTCATTAATACCAAAAAGATTTTGTTTTGAATAATGACAACAAAGTAAAGCAATAAATGATGAACGAAAATTTTTTGACATAAATCCATAAAGTATTGGATTTGTACACTAAAAACGAACAAAAAAACAAAGTAATAAAATAAAATAAATTTTTCTTTTTTTTTTAATCAACATACTGAATTTAAATAAGCAAATATATTTGCAAACATTGTTAATATATCCATATATGTTGTAAAATGATGACTTGTATTTCTTGAAAGTATTATATTTGAAATAAATAATAATTGCATAAAAAACCAACAAAAAGCATATGTTAATATAACAGCTAATATCATACGTGTTGCACGTCGTTTACTTCTACCAACAGATTGACCACGTGTTCCACGTAAAAATTTTAATATTAAACCATAAAGAATAATAATTATAGTTAATGGAAGTGCATAAAGAAATATGACAAAACCAAGCCAATAAAAACTTGCTTCAATTGGTAAAATTTCAATTTGTGTTATATTTGATCTTATCATCGAATTTGATGAACTACTAATATCTGGTTGTAAATAACGTAATAGACAATACATAGAAGTAGGTGAACCAAATTCAATAACTGTAAATAATGAACCGATCGGTATACATATACTAATACCTATTAACCAAAGAGCTCTAAAAACAAAACAACAACATAAAAAATTCATCTCATAAATAGAATACAAAAAATTTACATAATACAAATCATTGTATTTTTTGTTGTTCGATAATTTGAAATTGAATCAATAGCATGAACAACAGCAAAATAACGATCAATTGACATAAATACAAGTAAATAAATACTTATAAAAGCAGATAGATGATTAATAAATTGAGCTATTAATTATAGAATTAATAAAGAAAAATATAATAAAACATAATAAATTTTCTTATTTACCTAATTTACAACCAAATTCAGTAAATGGCCAATGACCAAAAAAACTAACTAAAGTTGTTGGAATACAAAAAATTATAAATAATACATCTGCAAGTGCTAAATTAAATATAAGTAAATTTGTTGATGTTTGCATGCCTTTATTAAGACCAATACCAATAAGTACAAGAGAATTACCAATAAGACCAAGTACAAAAAATGTACTAAATAAACATATTTTAACAATACCCAATTTAAGTTCATCTCCAAAAACACTACTACTAGTAGTATTATCTATATTATTGTTAACATCCATAAGAAATTACATTACATCTATGTTTTATAGATGATTATAATCTAAAAGAATCATATCCTATGGTAATTATCAATAGATATAAAAATTCTTAATCTATACAAAGAGATTTTTTTTCTTCTGAAAGAGCGTAAAAAGAAAATGTGTGTGTGTGTGTGTCTCTTGTATTCATCAAAGACATATGATCTGTATTCCTGCTTTGATCCTCAATCCTATCTAGATCGTCGATTCCAATTCCATTAGCAAACTGAAACACTATGATTGTGATAGTTATATAATAAGAATGGCAACAGAATAGTAACGACGACAATGATGAAAAAAAGAAAAAAAAAGAAAAAAAAAGTGCCCTAAGGAAAGAAGAAAAAAAAAGAAACTAAAAATAAGGGTTCTTGTCTTTTTTGTTCTCGTTACAATACAAACCATAGATTTAAATATTTATTTCAGATTAGCCCATCATTTTTTTTTCTATCTATCCTAATAAACATATTACAAACATAGAATATGCTAAATCGAAATAAGTTGCAATCATAAAAATAGAATAATTAGTATTTTATAGTTTGCATAAATGCATAAATAATCCTCTATTACTCTAACTACTGTGCCATTATAGTATGTTAGTATAAATAGAATCTAGTCAAAATTAGTTTACTATCTAACCTTTTATCTTTCTATAAATGTTATTTATATAATGACAGTTTGTAAAAAAACAAAACATTGCTTTCTTTATTCTAATTCCTTCATTCAAATTAGCATATAGACGAATGAAATTTATCATAAGTGTTTTTTTTACTAACAGATGTTTTATCAATTAAATATAATTTGTAGTCATGAACTTTATTAGACAACAGGTAAAGAATATATTCTAATATATAGCGAGTAATTACTACATAGTCAATATGAATATAGATTACCAACGAGAAAAAGAACTTATGTTTCTCTTTTTATTGATTATGTTTTAGACGTATTACTTCTACATACAATACATACATATATATATATATATGCCATTTATGCCAAAAAAGATGTTGTTTTTACTTTCTCATTTAACAAACTGTTCAAATGACAAGCAGCTGTTTGCTTATTCTGATGTTATGATAATATGATTCTTTATCTTTTAACATGCAATGAGGTAGAACGACAATAATGATGCATCACACATAACTCAAAAAAGAATATGAATGTCGAAAAAAAAAAGGATATTAGTGTTCTTAAGGTCTAGACTAATGACATAAAAATAGATAATATACATTAACAACAAACATATTTCATAAGATTTATTAAAACATAAGAAATTTTTATTTGAATTTTAATTAACAGATATGTGAATCAGAATGTTCGAATGTCTTTTTTTTGTATGATGATAATTTCTAATGGCAGTACAACTTAAATCAAGTATCAAATGTAAACATACAAAGTTACAAAACAACACTTATAAGCATGTCAAAACAGTCTAATCTAATGAAATAGTGTGTGTATGTTTGTCTATGTTTCTTCCAAAAAAAAATCTATCTATATACAAAAGACATTTAGATGAAATAATGTCAATGTTAATGTTTCATGCTTTGCTCTTGTTACGTATGAACACGCACAAATGTGTATCCTAATTTATTTTAAGATGAAAAAAAGGAAGAACTATGTCAACTAAAACATATAGGAAGTTAAAATGACTATAGTTCTTCAAAAGAAAAGGATTCAATTATTGAAATAACAGCTCGTCAATAGCAATAGAATATCATAATGCAAATGAAAATTCAGCTAATCGTGTCTTTCTTTTTTTCTTACTATCTATACTAAATGGGTGGAATGTTTCATGATTTGAAAACAAAAGACAATGATTGAATATTGCTTTTGAGTTGCTATCCATTATCGTATTTCTTTTTGCTCTTGAATGCCGTCTGTGTCTAACATATTTTTTGCATTTAGACATTTTTCATATGTAAAACAGACTCAAATATATATATATATGATAATCATTTTCCAAGATTTCTCTATTATTAATATAAATTAATCAATCGATTCATTTGAATAATTCTTTTATTCGATATACAATATTCGGGTTTTTTTTTATTAAAAAAAGCTAAAAATATTCAGAATAATCCATTTATTACATATAAGATTCAATGGTTTTCGATGAGATCAAAGATTCCAAATTATATTAGAATACACATTCATCATTCGATAGAATTAATAGAATAAACCGATAAAACTATTTTCCTACGATAGATATCTTTACAATAAGCCAACAATGCATATATATTAATTCTGATTTTCACACAAATCAATATCCTGATATAATCTTTGATTGCGTATATTTCATAAGAAAACATCTTAATATTACATATAATGTTATAGTAGAATATTTCATACTTGAATAAGCTTATCAGCTATAAAGCTTTTCATATATTTTGATGACAACAAAGATAAGCTGATGCTTAATAATATGATTAAAAAAAAACAGAAAAGTTATTCATGAATTGCATGAATTATGAATATTAATTATGAATATTTGATCATTTTTTATCTATTTTTCTGAATTGATTATGTTCTATCGTTTTGAATATAATAAATAAACATAATTGTGATCTTTACCAAGTACTTTTCTCAATATTGAAAATTATCTTATGTACCTTTCAACGAACCGTATTTTCAATGTAAAATATTCTGTGGTGGTAAATTTCTCTTTTCTACACAACAAATTCGTACAAATATATATCGAATATACACTTTCAAAAAAATGAATATAATAAACAGAGAGCAATCGTACATGAAGAGACAAATTCCGAGCTGTGCTGTTAACAGACCGAACAGAAAAATGTCCCAAATTTCAACTGACTAGACATGTTTTTGCCATGATAGTAATAATACTGTAACAAAGATCATATGCCAGTCAAGCAATAAAAAAATAAAGAAATAATGATGCCATGTTCCGTTTAGAAATTCTAAATGGCAAGTCATATAAATATTCAATTACATGTCTAAGGTCACCATGATATTGTTCACTAGAGCTCGACAGTTACACAAAAAATTGGAATAAAAAATCGAACCGGAACCGTTAAATTATCAACTAGATGAAAGAATTCTTAAATCTTCATTTTTCCATTCTTGAGATTAAAGATTTCAGGATTTTTCTTTAAGTACTAAAATATAAGACATCGTTAAGCTCAACAATTCAATAATGAAAATTTATCAAAATAAATGTAAAATTTTCATATCTATCTGATGATTTAATGACTCCAATTCTACATCATATTTGAGGAACCAAACCAGAATTGATCTTTTTTTCTCATTTTTAGTAACCGGAACCGCGTTTTCCGCTCCGATTTCGAGTAATTTTTGAAATCGTCGAATTCTATCGTTCTACTTGTGACATTTTTTCTTTTGACCTTTCTATGGCCAACTGATTTCGGCATTGATTTATTTATCTCATAATAAAATAAGTGATGAAATTATATGAAAAGAATTATTTTTTTAACTAAATTCTCTGATATTATGAGAGTTTTCTTGTTGAAGAAATAATCAAGTTTAATTGATATATTTAATAGAAAGTATGAAGCTGAAAATCATCCTGAGATCTTTTTTTTACCCTACAGAATCTCCTATCTTTTTAGTACATATGATTATTATTTAATAGAATCTAAAACAAGTAACTTTGAATCTATTACTGAACAATTAGAATTACTCTAACACCATAGAGCTTGTATTGATAATTGACATTACATAAAAATAACTAATTGTTAGTGGACAGTATCAATAAAAAATAATTAAAATTAAAAATCATGACAACTATATGTCCTCTACTAGCAAACAGAGTTAAAACACATGGTTCATAAAGAATCGGAGGAGTAATAAATAAAAAACAAACAAAATATAGAAAACGAAGTATCATTAGATGACATACGAATTGTATTCGTAAGAAAAAATGTTTGTGCAAAATACTTGTTTCAATCAGTTGATCGATATTATGTGAAACCGGAAAAAAGATATGATAAAATCTATTACTACACTACTTCTGCTAATGCATGTCAATGTACTTTGTGCCTACTTAGTATATCTTAATGATTTGAAATAGAAAAAGTCTATAAATATTCGCCGTTTCGACCCGTTTACATGCCACTATACGACTAAACTAAGGTAGTCCTATATAATCGTACTAATATTGTCAACGACTGTAAGTCTATTGTAATGCTGCTAGTATCCTCCTATACATATGATATTTTGCACATTGTCACTTATTCAATATTATACATCAGATTTGGAAGATCTAAGCGAAAATGCATTCGCACATGACTATTAAACTATGAGAAGGGGATGATGTTAATCTTCAATAGCTTGGTAAGCTAGGGATATGGAGCCTGTGAAAATACGTGTGAAGAAAATATTCTTCATTATATTGACTAAATAGTGATGTTAACATTGGCTGGCATAAAAACATAACCCAAAGAAATCTTTCAAAGCTGCATCCGATAGAACTCGACAAAAGCTATCCGTTAATATGTCGAACGAATGAGAGAATTTATTTAAAATTTCATATAAATAAATAAACAAAATAATTGTTTTTACTACAGAACATTTAATAGATACATAAAAAAACAAGCAGCTTGATAGTACTGAATAGAACTTAAAAAGAGCCATCAATTGTATATCACTATATGATATACGTTGATAACACAATGTTAAAACGGTATAACTACGTGCACCATATATGACGACCATAAATGGCACTGGATTATATCGCAATTAACTACAATACAGCGCACTATATACGATCGACATGTTCAGATCGAACATCACCTTAATTCAGCTGTATGCGAGCGTTTATATAGAGCTGTTGTTCAATCTGGGCTTCCATTATAGATTGAAAAACGAATAGTGCCAATTCGATCTTGAAATTCTATTATCGAATTATAAGTTTGTTTTGAAATTATACGATAAACAGATTATTCAACATGAAAATGCAAAAAAAAAGAAACTGAAAGACCTTGTTAATGAGTTCTTTCTTTATTTTTCTGTGATTTCATGCTAGTTTCATAACAAACATTTCACCGATACTGTATAACTGACAGCCTGAAAAATAAAACTCTGTATATTTATTTGAGAGTCGTAAAAAGTGTTTATCTAAGTCCTCTCTCTCTCTCTTGAAAAAAGAAGCTCATTCTGGTTAGATTAATCGAAATTAAGATAACTGCATGGGATGATAGATTGACGAGGGATCCTTCATAAACAATATCATTTTTGCATTAAAAAAACGAGAAATCTTTGTCGTTTTTTTTCTCTATTTATACTTTTCTGATCATGCATTCTAGAATTCTCGAAATAACTTCATTGTAGCTAATTGCTGAATTTTTTTTGTTTCAACGAGCATGTGAAGCTACAATATCCATTTTTTTGAATTAAAATTTTTTATTATTATATAAAAATGCACTTGTATAAATCGATGACTAGGTTTTTTTTTCAAGTTATTGAACTTGTCATCTTTTTACTCTACATGAAAAGTACGAATTTAAAATAAACGACTCTGTCAGGCGCTACAATGTTTTTGAACTTTGTTTGTTGAATATCTCCCGAAAATGCCGTTATATAGGACTGAAAATTTCATGCTATTCGAATGCATCTGAACTAAGATCAATTTTTGAGGTGGTGTACGGAGGCTTAACAGAACATAAAATAGTTTTATCTAACTCAGAAAATGGTCTACAAAACGTGAATACTACATTTCAAAAAAAACTTCCACTACACAGTTGTGACCTTTTCACGAATAGAAATAGAATACAACTATTTGTTTTTTATCATATTCCCTTTTCACAATAACTAAATTAAACATTTATTTTGTGAATTTTTCTTTTTAGACATTTTCACTTAAAAGTAATGGTTATTAATCCACCTCGAAACGTTTAGCGAAGTACTTATTCATCGGATTGACAATATATGAATAATCCTATTCAGTATGCGCTATACAAGTTTCAGTATTTGATACGTACTTTTTTTGCTTGATTAATCATGTATATTAAAAATGAAAGAAATTAGATGACTTATTCTTGTATATATTGAATTAAGCAAAAAAAGACAACAAGCACCTTGAGTATATATAAGGAGAAAATAACCAGTATTTTATTCCATTCTTTTATTAACACATAGAAATCCAACTATGAAGTTATATGGAATATTATTTGCTGTTATTTTTCTCATTGGTTTATGTACAGCTAGTGACGAACGTCCTGGTCGCGCACCTCTTCAAGGCTATGTTGAGAAGTTTGTTGATGCTGGGAAATTGAAATATCAAGGAGTATTAAGTCTTAATAATCCAGTTCTCCGTAGAATTTGGTCTTTTTTTAAAGCAAAATATCACCGTTCGTATTCATCAACTGGTTAGTTCATAAATAAAATTATTTGATTTTAAGAGAAAAAAACACTTGTTGTTTTTTTTGTTATTGTAGAAGAAGAAAGAGCACGTCTTCATATATTCCGTGACCATCTTAAATATGTATTAATATCAAATTTTGAAAAATTACGTACATTTCAATTAGAATTAAATGAATTTTCTGATTGGACATTAGCAGAATTTAATGCATTCAAAAATGGTTTAAATGTTCCGGCCAGTTTACGACGAGATTTCATAGATGATGAATCAGATGAAGATGAAGCACAACGTAGTTTATCAAAACTTTATCAACGTCATTATCATGTAAGAAGATTAAAACGAAATTTAAAAACACATCAATATAAACATAGACAATTCTTTCATGATGGATTTGACAAATTTGCTAATAGAGATAATGGTAATAATGATACTAATCAACAAACTAATATAGTTGATTAGCGTGCAAAAAATGTTGTAGGCTCTATTAGAAATCAAGGTGAATGTGGATCTTGTTATGCATTTGTTACGGTTGCAGTTATAGAAACACTTTATGCTATACAAACAAAATCTCAAAATGCTATTGATTTTAGTCCACAACAAATAGTTGATTGTTCAAGTGATGGAAATGAT